GGAAGATGAGGAAACAACAGGAGGGGAGGGGGATGCGAGAAGAGAAGGAGAGAAGGAGGAGGAGGAACAGGAGGAGGATGAACAGGAGGGGGGATGAGGGATTAGCGAGGGCGGAGGGGGTAGGGAGTAAGGAGGAAGGAGAGGGCGGAGCAGGAGGGAGGAAGGAAAAGGGAGGAGGGATGAGGGAGGAAGAAGGAGGGAGGAGGGAGGAAAGGGAGGCGAAGCAGGAGGAGGAAGGGGGGCACGGGAGGAGGACGAGACAGTATGAGGAGAGGGGGAGGAGGTAAGCAGAGGAGCAAACGGAGGCGGAGGAGCAAGAGGAGGAGGAGGAAGGGGAGGAAGAGGAGGAGGAAGGAGGATGAGGAGGGGCGAGGGAGGAGGGAGGAGGGAGGACAAGGAGAAATGAGGAATGGGAGGGAGGAGAGAGGAGGGATGAGGAAGGAGAAAAGAGAGGAGGGTGAGGGAAAGGGGAAGCGGGCGGAGGGGGGAAGAAAAACATAAGTAAGAAGGGAGGGGAGAATAGGACAGAGCTGGTACGGAGGCGGGAGGCGGAGGGAGGGCGGTGGGAAGAGCAGGAAGGAGGCGGGAAGAGGAAGGAGGGAATATGGAGGAGGGAGAGGGGAGGAAGGAAGAATACAAGGAGGAAGAGCAGGATGAGGAGGGGGATGGAACAGGAGGAGGAGGAGGAGGATAAGGAAATATGAGGAGAAGGTTGGACGGAGGAGGAGGAGGGCGAGGATGATGATGGTGAGGGGGAACAGGAGGCAGGAGGAAATCGGGACGAAGGAGGAGCGCGAACGCGCAAGTTGCCACTGCCGACCAACACAGAAGCACGTATGTTGTTTCATTTGTGTTTCGTGTACCACAACATATACCAAGATAATCATACAACCATCTGCGCATATTGGGTAACCCACTGCGTAACAACATTGCATACATTAATACACACTTCAACGTACATTCTATGACACCGCAGTTCGTACACTTGGCACGGCACCACCATGCGAAGTGCACGCTAACGAGACACTTGCATTGCCAACGACACTGTGGCACGAATCACACGTGGGTGCAAATTAAAAATACACAGCTACATACACAGCTTGCTCACTTACGTGTACATACGTAACACAACGCCACGCACGCATACTTCATGGACGCACAACACACATGCGCATACACATGGAAACATGCACATACATGCATGCACATAATACGCGACACGACGGGTGGCGTCACGTTCGGTTCCGCCCAAGCTTCCATGAAGACCTCCTGGACGCTCACGCAGAGGTGGGAGCTGTTGAAGACGCGTTGGATCAGCATCGCGATTGCATCCTGGAGGGGGGCGGCGAGGACGGGGATCCGATTAGCCCAAAGAAGACCCGTAGGGGAGACGGAAGGGGAGGAGGACCAGGAGGACGAGGAGGAGGAGAGGGAGGACGAGGAGGAGAGGGAGGGAGAGGAGAGGGAGGAGAAGGAGGAGGAGGAAGAGAAGGAAAATGGGGCAGGACCGCATACAACCATGACAGCCGCAGCGTCTACTACCACCACGACTACTACCGTCGCAGCCCCTCCTCCTCGCATTCCTCGTTCCTCATCCTCATCACTCCCCTCCAGGCTCTTACTCATCCTCCTCCCCATCCTCCTCCTCCTTCTCCCCCTCGCCCTTCTCCTCGTCATCCCCCTACTGCTCCTCAGGGTGCTCTCGCGCCTCCCCCTCCTTCCCCTCGCTCCGCTCCCCCAAGCCGTCACAGTCAAGCGTGCCCCCCATTTGGATTTGGACCCGCAGTCCTTGCCAGCGTACTGGCCCATGTTCTCGAGACAGCCCTTGAGGTGCACACACATGTCGCGGTTGTCCTGATGGTAGAGCTGGCAAGACCCCGTCGCTGCAGCACGAGTACAGTGACCGTTGAACTCGAGCACCGACGAGTCCGCGGCGTCACCATCGATGTACAAGTCCAGAAACGCCTTCAACACCTTGCCAGCCTGAGTCTTGCCAGCTCCACTCTTCTTCGTCATCCAACTGCCGACCAGCAACGCGAGCAAGCCAGGCGTCGTGATCTGGTACTCGCTCCTCAAACAGGTTGGCGGCATCATCGTGTCCGGGCAGTGCGTCGCCTTCCACGACATGACGTTCTCGACGATGCAGTGGCCGCGCTCGCAGTTGAGCGCCTCGAAGTACTTCGTGATCCTCGGCTTGTTGTTGTAGATCCACTTGCCGACGCCCGTGTCGAACTTCTCGCCGAGGGCTGCGATGACCCGCCTGAGCTCCCAACCAAGCCACAGAGGAGCCTGACCCTGTCGATATCCATCAAGTGGACCTCGATCATGAGCCCACGCCTTGAAGATGCCGTGGCACTCCGAAGATGAAAACTCACCTGGCAACTGCACGTAGATCACCGTGTCGTCCGACATCCCTACTGCTAGACCCCTGCAGCTAATCAGTCGACACGAAACCTGGTGGCCACTAGGGTCGCAGGCCGCCCCAGGGCCCCTGGGCCCCACGAGGCCAGGAAACCTAAGCCAAAACGGCTTCGAACAGGGCCGACGCCGCGGGTTAGTGACGTTGCTGCCGCATTACACACCACTGGGAAAACACCAAAGACTGCAACCTTGCCCCGAACCAGCAACGCGATCCCAAGGACCACTGAATCGAAACGCATCCCACTGAGCAGGGTTCAACACAACTACGGCAGTTCCAATGAGAACGATCCCGATGGCATCGAACATTAGGTTGAGGTAGCTGCATAGCAACCCCCACCTGCCCCCCTCCCATGCGACCCAACACCAAGGAGTGACGGGGATAGGCGAAGTCCCAACCAGAAACCGCAGGATATCGATCCCAAGAAAAACTCTTTGACACCAGGGGCTGGAACTTGAAACAGGTTTGAGGTCTATCCCTTCACACCATTGTGTCATGACAAATCTTCGGACACTGCATTTTTCACAACTCGTAGTTGTATCAAGCATCTGATCCAAGACGCAGAGAACGTAAACATAGCTTGCCTGCGCACCGTGAAAACTGGCTCCGACCATTGCCAGAGCCCCGAGAACAGACGCAGTCCTCAGAATCGTCTCTGAGACGCACCCCATTGCATCACATGAGTTCAGATACTGCACTTGCAGACTGACCATTCAACCCCATGGCCTCGAACGTGGAGTATATGTCCACCTTCACAGAGAGAACAAAAACGTGCGCCAGCACATACCTCGACTCCGAGATGCGCGTGTCAAGGTAGATCAAGCACCGCTCCCCGATTCCGCGTGCATGACATGCTCAAGGTGCGATTCGAGACTGACCCCGTCGCCCACCGAGCTGGCGTCCTCGGCCTGGTACAGCGACTGACCGTCAGGGCTGCCATCGAGAGCCGACGGCGACACAGAAGAAGGCGCAGGTGGCTGCCACTGAGACTCCATGGATTGCATCGGCACCTGCAAGAGCGAAGCCACAGCAACGCCGCACTCGTGCCTCGCGGTCTCGGGCTTCCCCACGATCCTCGAGGCGACGTCGACGATGGCCCTCTGCTTCTTGGTCGGCGGAGTGGCAGCGGCCATGGGGTTCATGATGAACTGCTTCGCGACCACGTCGCGGCCGAAGCTCCCCAGGGAGGCGATTGGCACGTTCTTCACACAGTGATGCGATACGATGTTCGCCTTGGTCTTGCAGTAGTTGATGTCGATCTCCAAGGCCTCGATGGGGATGAGCGTGCCGTCAGCGTACTTGAGCCTCAACTCTGGAGGCACCACGTGCTCGGCCTTGGTAATCTTGTCCTTGATGATCAGGTCCTCGCCTACCATCTCCATCTCGAAGCAGCCGTCTTTGTGGGCGCCCCAATCCCCAGGAACCCGAAGATCGCGTCCACGACGGCCCTCGGTATCACTGGAGTGCTTCAGGAATTTCTTGAGGGTCGGGGTGTGGCGGAGCGAGCCCACCAAGTTGAGCTCCCTGCCCTGGCCAGTGACAAACTCGAAGTGGTCCGACAACTTCTTCTGCTTCTCGTCGAGTTTGCCCTTGCTGGTGATCGCCTTCAAGGCCAAAGAAGAGAGTGCAACAGGCTCGCAGTGACTCAATAGCTCAACCATGATCGGAACCGAACAATTCTCCCACCTGGTGTAGCGATGCGGCAACCAATTCGCAGGGTTTGGATCATCGATGCCAGTGCCACTGGCCCTCACTCTGCATCCGCCCTGACCCTGATCACCAGCAGCAGCATCTCCACCGTTGGAATCGGCAGCGGTAGGCACACAAACGATATCAGTAACAGACGAGGGCGCATCAAACTCATCGGCACCCCTCTTCTTCGCGGCCTTCCCTAGGACGACGGGGTGGCCGATTCCCTCCAAGAACTCTTTCACCTGATCGAGGACAATGGGGTTGTCGGTGATGACTTTGAATATGGCCCGTTTCAACTCATTCTGGGAAATCTCTTTGGCTCGAATCCTTAGGTGCTCAGCCTTCTGCTTGGCGTCCATCTCACGGAACTGGGACTTCGCATTCGGCTTCTTAGAAGCTTGCACATCTCCAGATGACGCCATGGCACCTCAAGGTTGGCACTGACGCGGGCAGGAAATACACACGCACACAATAACCTCGAGCAGCAAAATGTGCTAGGACAACATGATCAAAAGCTACTCCCCATCTTGAATTCCACAATCTCGACACACATAACCATACTGCTCTCTATCTTGACCTCTACAACCGCTGAGTTCACCCAAGAGGCCGTGACCGAGATTTCCAAGACGTTGGCGCCTTGCTGGTTAGCTAGGGGAACACACAGCCCATGCCCGAGACTCTCCTTCTCCCCCTCCTCTTTCTCCTCCTCTTCGCTCTTCCCTCCGCCTCCTCCTCCTCCTCGTCTCTTTTCTCTTTCTTCCTCTCTTCCTCCTTGCTCCTCTCCTCCTCCTCCTCATTCTCTTTATCCTCTTCCTTTACATTCGCAGGCTGCTCAAGCGACGTGGTAACAATGTCGCATAAAAAAAATGCAAACATGCTTTCAAAAATCGGTCCCATACCACCCATGTGCTATACCACCCCTTTCCAGTTTTCCGAGACGTGGGCAGCGCGTCGCGCCGAAGCCTGGCGGGCCAGAACTGGCGGAGCGACACGCGAGAAGCCCAACTTCCTGGCCGCACCCGAGCGTTAGCTCTCGCAGGTCCGCGCGGGTGTCTCGGGTCGGAGCCGTGTCCCCCCTGTGCCCGGGCGCGAGATGCGCAGCAGGGGCGGCGCTGGAGGCGCCGACAAAGGGGAGGGGTCCATCGCCGACCCAAGAAACGCGCACGGACCACCGAAGATGCACTATTCGGCTTAGTTTGTTGCTGCTTCGATCCTTGAGCGACATTTCCCCCGGGGAGTACGTTATTCCTTCGCCGTCGGTATCGCTCTCCAGGCGCGCTATGAAGTGGTCTGTCACCGACTGCAGAAACCACACGCCCACGATGTACATCATTAACAAGAGCAAGATGACTACCCAGAAGAGCGATCGGAAAGATCCTATGATGGAGCTCACGATCGTACGCAACTCGCTAATGAGGTGTAGGACGCGCACAAGCCGGAAAATGCGGACGATCCTCAAGACACGGAGGATGCGCAACAAGCGCAAGTGCCCAGCGTTGTTGTCGTCGGAGCTGAACTTCATGAGCTCGATGATCTCCTGGATCAGTTGTGCGCCGACGACGAGGAGGTCGAAATAATTCCAGAGCAAGCCTAAGTCCCTCTTCCAGAAAAATGCAAGCTTGAAGACATACACTCGCAAGACGAGCTCCGTGGTGAAGATCACGCAGAAAAAGAGCTCGAACGCGCGGTAAATCCACGGCACGGCCTCAGTGACGTTCCTTGCCGCGTAGTCGGCCTCCATCCCGATGGTGAGGGCGTTCCCCAGTATGAGGAGACTTATGGCGTTGTCGAACCTGGCACTGGACAGAATCGCTGCCCCTGACAGGTTTTGGTACGTCTCCGCGTTGAACATGCTCCTCGTCAGCTCCAGCATCGTTGTCTTCCTTGTGTTCCTGGCTTTGCGGACTGCCCGAGATATGCGGAGGTTTGCCAGAGACTGGCCGCCCTTACGCGTCCCTGTCAAGTCGTCCAGGTTGGCAGTGGTGGCGGTCTGAAACTTCACAGCCCCAGAGGAGCGCTCCTGGATACCGGCAGTACACGCCGGTCGGAAGAAGCAGGTAAAAACATGAAGCAGGAAGGCGGATCAAGCAGATTGGGTTCAGGTCCTCCCAGAGAACAACAGAACACACAGCAAAAGCATGCCGACTCTTGCAGTAGGAAGGCGCTTGAAGTAGATTGGGGTCTGGGAGTCCAAAAACACCTGCTTTCAACGACCGGCGTGTACCAGCGTCTTCCTGTGGCATGAGGCAGAGGCGGGTTCGGAAGGAACCGGGCCCTGGGCTCCCGCCCAGGACCAGCCCTGCATCTTGCTGGGCTCTGCGGACGCTTCCGGGGCCGGGCCCCGAGAGGCCACAGACGGCGAAATTCTCGGGTCCCGTGTCCCTCATGGCCCGTTTCCAAGACCCCCGACGCCATGAGCTGATCATTGCGTCGACCCCCAGAAGGTCTCGACCCGTTCCACGGGACCGGTTTTTCCTCCTGGATCGTATCTGACGGTCCCGAGGCCCCGTAAGGGCCCCCAGAGGCTGAAAATTCGGAAAAACCTTGCGTCGTGCTTTTTTGTTCATGACTCGAGGGGGTCTGGGTTGCTTCGTGGCGGCTTCCTGGAAGTCGGCAGAGCGCTCCTGTGTCCTGCGCCCTCGCGAGGACGCCCCGTCCTCCGACGCCTGGCCCCCGCTGGAGTCGCGGGCGGCGGCAATGCTGGCCGCTCCTGGCGGATCCTGCACCCACGACGCCGGCTTCTTCAGGCTCGCCCGGTCCTGCTCCGCATCGCTGCTGCTCTGCCTCGCCTGTGCCTTTGAGAAGGGGGCTCGGTGTGGCGGGTTCCAACGAGCCTGAGGCAAATGAAAAACCTCCCCATCTCCTGGGAGGCCGATGTTGACTCCCGCCGGCCTCCGCCACGCTTCCGCCACCTTCCGCTGGCGGAGGCGGCCTCGTTTCACCTCCGCGGCCCTCCGCCGGCTTCGCCGCCCTCGGCCGAGGAGGGGATATCAGCTCCTTCGATCCTCGAAGGCGAGCCCCCTCCTCCTCCTCCTCCTCCTCCTCCTCCTCCTCCTCCTCCTCCTCCTCCTCCTCCTCGTCCTTTTTCCTCCTCCTCCTCCTCCTCGTCTTCCTCCTCCTCCTCCTCCTCTTCCTCCTCCTCCTCTTCCTCCTCGTCCTTTCTTCCTCCTCCTCCTCCTCCTCCTCCTCCTTGACTGCCCCAGGTATACGTCGCGCAGGTCGGCCGGGGGGCTCGCGGCGTGTGGGCGCACCTGCCGACCGACCCGTGGGACGCCGGGGCGTCGGGTGTCCAGACGCCGGGGCTCCTCGGCCGACCGGGCGACGTGACGTATATAAAGGGGCCCCAGGACACACAAATAAATATACACAAATAAAAATATTCCCCATATTTTCCCATATTTTCTGGATTTGCGTCTTCCCCACCACTTCCCATATTTTCCTATATTTTCTGGGGAATGGACGATTAATTGTGTCTGTGTGTTTTTTCCCCTCCTGAGTGTAGGGCGACGAAATCTATACATATCCACTGCTCCCTGGCCAGGCCCATCCTCAACCCCGCAGCGGTGTGTACGCCACGCCCTCCTGGCTTGGCCATCAGGAGGGCGCATACACACAGCTCCTGGGTTCCAGATGTGGGCACGGTCAGGGAGCAGCGGATGTGTATAGATTTCGTCGCCCGAACGTGTGCATCGAGCCCCTCCGGGCCTTGCTCGGCGCCAGGGGGTGCGACGGGGGCGTCGAGGGGAGCGACGGCTCCGGGTCCCACGGCGTCCTCGGGCGCACCGCGGCGACGGGCGCGGGGGGGCGCGCCTGGAACGTCTCGTCCTGCACCTTCTGCGGCAACTCGTGGGAGCCCTCCATACCGTCTTGTCGGCTCATGTGAGTCGACGCGAATCGACGCGAGCCGACGCTAATCGATGGCAGATCGACCCCAGAACGACGATAACCGACCCCCTATAGATGGTCGCTGTCTCATCGATCGCACGAGGCCAGTCGACGCTCATGCACTCGGAAAGACGGAATTGCGAGGGCATGCGAGGTTCCCATGACTTGCTACCGACTGCACCTTCGCGGTACCCGCCCTGTTCTCGTCCTCGCTCTCGGTGATGTCCTCGGACTGCACCACCGCGGCGCTTGAGGAAGCGAAGACCCTGAGGCTGCTCACCTCGCACGTGGACCGGCGGCTCGATGGCGTCCGACCCCGGTGAGCCAGATGCCGAGGAAGAAAAAATTGCATACGGCCAGCAGCTTTTGGATACCCTGTCGCGGGGCGGCCCCGTCGACGCGCTGTGCCCTGCGAGCGGACAGCGAGTGGCTCTGCCCCGCGGGGCGGGAAGCTGGGAAAGGCTCGAGCACGTGGACGCTTGGGGCCCGGAGACGAAGATGGGATGCACAGAGACATACTAATACTATGTGTCCGCCTTGGAGGCGCGCGTCCGACCCGAACATGTAGTATACCCATCTTGTAGTATACCGTTTCTCGAGCGGTGTGGCCAGAAAGCGCCCGCCACGACGCATATACTATAAGATTTCTCGGTTCGCGCGTCGCCCCTGGGGGGGCGACGAACACATAGTATAAGTATGTTGGGGGGGGACGCCGAGAAGAGCGTGTCGCGCAGCAGAGAGGTGGGCCAAGACCAGCAGAGAGGCACGCTAAGCCAAAGCTCCTGACCGTGAGCATGAACTCTCAGAGGTCCGCGCGGATCTCTCGGACCTGCGCCGGAACCCTCTCACTGGCCCTTTCAGCGCCCCGAGAGCGCCGCCAGGGGCGCCCAGCGCCGATGCAAAAGACCCGCGCAGGAGCGCCGAACGTTTATGGTCCCAGACATGCGACGTCCTGACTTGTTCAGGACGGCGCCCCCGGAAGTCCAGAGCCTTTCCCCAGGGCCGGCTTCTCATCCTGAATCGTTTTTTGACGGTCCCGGGGCCCGGCGAGGGCCACCAGGGGCCGAAAATGGGGAAAAAGAACTCGCCGTCCAGATTTTTTCACGACGCGATCGTGTCTGGGGGCATGCCGCTGTCTCTTCATCGAGGATGGCTGCTGTCGTTGTGGCTGAGGGTGTCTCGCGGCAGCAGCGTGGCGTCCAGCATCCCAGGCGGGGCGCTCCGCAGCATGCTCCGGCCGTCCTCCGAGGCCCGGGCGGAGCCCATGGACAGCCGCTGCAGGTCGCGGCGCATGCCCCAGACGTCCTCCCTGAGCTCCGACATGTCCTGCTGGATCTGCGGGAGCCCGATCTCCCGGAGGGCGCCTCCAGAGAAGCTGCCGCGGGCATACTCAGAGATCCGATGTCCTGCTCTTTTCCATGCGGGGCCCCCGGAAGTCTCGGCCCATTCCCCAGGACCGGCTCTTCGTCCTGAGCCGTTGTTTGGCGGCCCCGAGGCCTGGCGAAGGCCTCTATAGAGGCCGAAAACGGCGACAAACCTCCGTTTTGATTTTTTCAAAACGCTGGATCTCTGGGTATGCTGAGAAACGTTCGGAGGTCCGCGCGGAGTTTTCGGACCGGCGCCAATCTCCCCCTGGCGGCGAAGGCGAGGCGGGGTGGGGGCGCGTCGCGATCGCCGCAATGTGTGCGCATGTGGGGGAGGGGGCCAGGCATCCCCCCCCCACCAGCGCACAGGGCAGTTTTTAATACATAGGATGTTTTTTTTTCATATTAAAAAATATATAGGATGTTTAAAACATGACTGATGTATGAATAAATGTATGCATGAACTCATCGTTGTTTCTAATACTAAATCCCTGCATGTACTATACATGATCCGCACGCGGAGCATGTACTAAATATCACAGTGCGACCCTACCTAGGAGTTGGGGCATTCAGGAAAGCAACATCTACATCTACACCGACAACTACATTTACATCTACACCTGCATCTAAATCCACATCAACATCAACAGCGAGACTCACATCTACATCCACATCCACACCTACATCTACACCTACACCTACATCTACATCTACATCTACATCTACATCTACACTTTCGCATTGGTTTTGCTTTTGCTTTGAATTGCCTTTGCTTTTGCTCTTGCCTTTGCTTGTGCCTTTGCCTTTGCTGTTGCTTTTGCTGTTGCCTTTGCTTCGCTGTTGCTATTGCTTGACTTTGTTTTGCTTGATGATGATGATGATGATGATGACGATGATGATGATGAGGATGATGATGATGAGCTCTACAAACGGCACGCAGCTAAGCTAAGCTCAGCTAAACTAGAACAAGCTAAGCTAAGCTAAGCTATGCTATGCTATGCCATGCTATGCTATGCTATGCTATGCTATGCTGCGCTTTGCTTTGTCTTGCTTTGCTGTGCACCCAGCGACAGAAGGCTGTTCAGCGCTGCTCGCGGCTCCTCCAAGTGCTGCAGGCTGTTCAGCACTGCTTGCACTAGGTTCAACACTGCTCGCGGCTCCTGCAAGAGCTGCAGGCTGTTCAGCACTGCTCGCGGCTCCTGCAAGAGCTGCAGGCTGTTCAGCACTGCTTGCAAGAGCTGCAGGCTGTTCAGCACTGCTCGCGGCTCCTGCAAGAGCTGCAGGCTGTTCAGCACTGCAGGTCCGGCTTTGCGCTGTTTGTGCTTTGCTTTGCTGTTGCTTCTGTTGCTTTGCCTTTGCCTTGCTGCTATGCTATGCTATGCTATGATATGCTGCGCTATGCTATGTTATGCTATGCTTTGCTATGCTGCGCTATGCTGCAGTATGCTATGCTATGCTATGCTAGGGTACGCTCGGCTGCGCTGTGTTATGATAGGCTATGCTATGCTATGCTATGCTGCGCTATCCTATGCTATGCTATGCTAAGCTGCGCTATGATATGCTATGATATGCTATGCTGCGCTATGCTATGATATGCTAGGCTATGCTATGATATGCTGTGCTGCGCTATGCTATGATATGATGTGCTATGCTATGGTATGCTGCGCTATGTTCGCCTATGCTATGCTGTGCTATGTTGTGCTGTGCTATGCTGCGCTGTGCTATGCTGAGCAATGCTATGATATGCTATGGTATGCTGCGCTATGCTATGCTATGCTATGCTATGATATGCTGAGCTATGGTAGGCAATGCTATGCTATGCTTGGCTATGCTATGCTGTGCGAATGCTGTGCTAATGCTGCGCTGCGCTATGATGCGCTGCGCTATGCTAAGCTAGGCTAGCCTAAGCTATGCTAAGCGAAGCTAAGCTCGGCTAGGCTAAGCTAGGCTAAGCTAAGCTAAGCCAAGCTAAGCTAAGCTAAGCTAATATGATATAAGCTAAGCTAAGCTAAGTTAGGCAAGGCTAGGCAAAGCTAAGTCAAGCTAAGTTAAGCTAAGATGAGATAAGCTAAGCTAAGCTAGGCTAAACTTAGCTAAGCTTAGCTAAGCTTAGCTTAGCTGGATGAACCCAGGGGGCGCAACTGGGGGAACCGCGGGGCGGATACTGGGGGAACCGCCCGGGGCGCTTTCCTCTGCCCGGCCCCTTTAAGCCCAGAGAGTAAGAACGCTTCTAGGCAGAGCCTAGGTAGGGAAAAACGGCACTGTACGATCGTTGCCGTTTCCCGGTGGGAGAGGCTTGGCTTGGAGCGTGGCCCGCCAGAGGATGAGCAAGTATCTGGCCTGCCGAAAGACCCACTCCACTGCAAAAGCGTGGCGCGCCAATTCGCAGAAACGCTCTGCGCGCACAACCTTTTTGTGGGGTCTCGATGCGTGTGAGACGTGCGCCGAAATACACCCGAGGCGACATACGACCTCTGCCACTGGAGACTTTGGTGGAGCTCCCTATGGGGCCACGAAGCATGTGAGACGTGGGCCGAAATGCACACGAGGCGCCATGCGACCTCTGTTACTGGAACCTTTGGTGGAGCTCCCTATGGGGCCGCGAAGCGTGCGAGGGGTGCGCCGAAATGCACCCGAGGAGCCATGCGAACCCTGCCACTGGGGCCTTCGGTGGGGCTCCTCATGAGGCGACGAGGCGTGTTAGGGGTGCGCCGAAAAAGCAACCGAGGCGCCATGCGAACCTTGCCACAGCTCCTTCGGTCGAGCTCCTTACTACGGGGCCACGAAGCGTGCGAGGGATGTGCCAAAATGCACCCGAGGCGCCATGCGAACCCCGCTACTGGAGCATTCGGTGGAGCTCCTCATGGGGCGACGAAACGTGCGAGAGGTCCTGCCACTGGAGCCTTCGGAGGAACTTCCCATGGGCCCACGAAACGTGTGAGGGGTTTGCCAGAATGCGGGACCCTGTCACTGGAGCCTTCGGAGGAGCTTCCCGTGGGCCCACGAAACGTGTGAGGGGTTTGCCAGAATGCGCCCGAGGCGCCATGTGAACCCTGCCCCACAGATCGCATGGAAGGGTGCGCCGAGATCCATCCGAGGCGCCATGCAGCCCTTGCCACTAGAGCCTCTGGTCAAGCCATGATGCTAATGATGTTGATGTTGATGTTGATGTTGATGATGATGATAATGATGATGATGATGATGATGATGATGATGATGATGATGATTAGGATGATGATGGTGATGAGGATGAGGACTATGAAGATGCGGATGATGATGATGATGATGATGATGATGATGATGATGAGGAGGAGGAGGAGGAGGAGGAGGAGGAGGAGGAGGAGGAAAATGGTGGTGATGGTGGTGAGGGAAAGAGGGAGGAGGAGGATGAGGAAGTGGAGACATGGGTGAGGAGGAAGAGGAGAGGAGGAGAGACAGGAGAAGGAGTACGGCGCGGGGCTCCGCGACTCCAGAGCGCGGACCCAACGGGAACCGCCGGTATGCCTTGCGCGCTTCCGCCTCCCGTCGAGCCTCGGATCTCCCCTCTCAGGTCCGCGCCGCCCGCCTGCAGCACGGGCCTCTCCCTGCTCGCCGGCAGGGCCGGCAGGGCGGGGAGGTCGGGGAGGCCGACGCCCGCCCGCCCGGCCGCGGGCAGGGCGGCGGGCAGGTCCATGCCCCAGCGGCTGCAGGAGAAGCCTTCCCAGAGCTCCGACGACGTGATTCCCTGACTCCGGATCCGCCCTACTTTAGCATTTTTTCCAACTTAAAATTGCGCCGGAAATCCACCTATCAGAGGCCGAAAAAGTAGGGCGGAAATTGCTGCACCCAACATAAAATAGGGCGGAAATCCACAGAAACAGCAACAGAAAAGTAGGGCGGAAATTGGCATCAGCGGAGCTTGAAAAGTAAGGCGGAAATTCCAAGCCCTATTTACGAATTTCCCCAAAGTAGGGCGGATCCGGAATCAGGGTTGGCTCAAAAGCCGGACAGGTCTTCCTCCGTGTCGGCCGCCGGGGGGGGCCCGTCGTCGGGCCCTAGGGGGGGCCGCCAGACGTGGATTTCCGGGGCGCGCCAAGCGCTCGCGGGGCTGGGGTCGGAAGCTCCGGGGCCGGCGATCGGAGAAGGAGCAGTGACACGAGCGGAAAAACTGGGAGGTCCGCGCGGATGTCTCGCATCGGCGCTGGACGCCCCTCCCTGGAGCGCGGAGCGCGCCAGGAGCGTTCGTGTCATTGCTCGTCCCCCCAGCGGATTGAGAAAATCAGATCGGAGGACGTCTGGGGTCTTGCCGTGAGCCAGCCAGAAAGGGGTCCTGGAGGAGTTCGGTCGGGCATGTCCCCCTACGGGCGGATTTTGGACGAAGAATTGTACATTGCCAAGAATCCCCCCCAAAATGGTCAAACAATAAATCCCCAGATCATGTTCTCAGTATCTCTGAGCATCTTCCTCCTATAGAGGGACACGCCCGGCTGAACTGCAGTGTCCCCAAAATATACTCCCCCAAATGATCAAAAAATATAAAAAGAATCGTCCCCAGATCATGTTCTTAGTATCTCTGAGCATCTTCCTCCTATGGAGGGACACGCCCGGCGGAACTGCAGTGCCCCCCAAATGCCCCCAAAATGATCAAAAAATATAAAAAGAATCGTCCCCAGATCATGTTCTTAGCATCTCTGAGCATCTTCCTCCTATTGGAGGGACACGCCCGGCGCAACTGCAGTGCCCCCCAAATGCCCCCCAAATGATCAAAACATGTAAAAAGAATCGTCCCCAGCTCCCGCCGGGCAGCCGAGACGGCGGCACAGCCAAGACGCTGAAATGAGGAGGGGGGGGGGGAGGAGGGGGAGGAGGGGGAGGAGGGAGAGGAGGGGGAGGAGGAGGAGGAGGAGGAGGAAGAGGAGGAGGAGGAAGGCCTAATAGCGAGGAGGAGGGGGAGGAGGAGGGGGAGGAGGAGGAGGAGGAGGAGGAGGAGGAGGAGGAGGAGGAGGAGGACCACTATCTCGGAATACACGCCCGGCTTCACTGCAGTGCCCATGGGCCCCCCTCTCGCATCGGAGGAGGGCCGGTCTCGAGGCCGCCGCGGCCCTCCCCGGCGTTTGTTTTGTTCCGGCGTTTTTCGGGGGGGGGGGGCCCTTCGGAGAGGCGCCTCGCCGCCACGGCGGGGCTCGTCGAAGAGCAAGGCGGGGAGGCAACCCGAGAGAGGTCTGAGGAGAGAGTGCGGCCGGACGTCTTCGGGATCGGCCAGGAGGGGGGTGTCCAAAAGAGGGGGGGGTGCAACTCATGACCGGCGGCACGTGCGCGGCCCAGCGGGGGGGCCAGGGACGTGATAAAAGAAGAAGCGGCGCCACGAAATCTGGGGAAATATCATGGCCCACGCCATGATATCCCCCCCCCCCCCTAGTCATCACCCCCCTCTTTTCCGCCCCCGAGACGTGGGCCGGGGTTATGTTGTCCCTACTTGCGTTAGCCTGGATCGGGTCGGGCGATAGAGGGGGCATTGGGAAAGGGGGGGGTACGGAATTTGCTGCATGCAGCTGGTTTCGGCCCCACCGAGGGGCCCGTTCCTCGATGCATGGGCGCCTCCGGCGCCCGGAGGCGCCGGGAAAATCAGCTGCGTGAGCTGATTTTCAACCCCCCCCTTTGCTATCCCCCCCTTTCGCCCGACCCGACTGGACCGCCCGGAAGAATGAATGCCGATCCCCAAAAAAGGGCCGAAACTCGAGGGAATGCAGGCGTCGGGCCCCGGGAGACATTCGTTCGACACTGTTTCGACACTTCAGGCCTGGACCACCCGGAAGAATGTCGATCACCACAAAAGGACCGAAAGTCGAGGGAATTCACGCGTCGGGCCCTGGAAGACATTCGTTCGACACTGTTTCGACACTTTTCTGGGATGTGGTCCTTAAGTACGATGGGAACAACGTAAGGCCAAGGGGGTTCTTGACGGCGCGCAGAGGGGGGTAGGGTTAGGTCGGGCCTGTCCCCCTACAGGCGGATTTGGGGCGAAAGCTAAACAAGTGACCCAACAATTCTCCCCCAATGGTCAAACTACTCACAAAATCGTCCCCAGACTATGTTTTGACTATTTTTGAATATTCCTCCTGTAGAGGGACAGGCCCGACTTAAGGGTAGGGGGAGGGGGGACAGCTTCTTAGAAGGAGGCTGCTTCTTAGAAGGCGCGGGCCTCACATCTACAGAGAAGGCCCGCGCCATCCAAGAAGCAGGGGTGCTTCTGAGAAGCCTTCCCCCCTCCCCCTGCCCCCCTCTGCGCGTGGCTGAGGTTCGCCGCCGTTGTCTTGAGTGGTCCTCCTCCGACCGAAGCGGCTCCACGTCCCGAGCTGTCTCTTGAGCATCGCGGGGCCGAGGAAGAGTCCCGGGAGGCCGAGAGAGTCGCAAAACGCTCAAGATCACAGGGCCCCCCTGGGGGTTTCTGGAGGCCTCCGAAGCCAGCGGAGGAAACCAGACATACAGAAAGGGCCATCCGATCCTCGACCCGTCCTAGTATAGGACCTCTGGTCAACCCTGGACCCTTTACAGTACCTATCTGTAGCTCACGGCAACCTTCTACCACAGACGCCCGACGTGTCGTGATCTTTGCAGCATGGGCCCCGTCGCCCCGCCGCCACCCCGTCGCCGCTCGTCGCCTCGTCGCCGCCCGTCGCCGCCTCGATGCGGGCTCGTGTCGCGCCGGCCGGCTTGTCGTCGCCCATTCGCCGACCCGTCGCCGCTCGTCGCAGCCGGTCGCCGCCTCGTCGCGGGCTCGTGTGCCCCCCCCCAGACTCGCATTTTACCGCCCCAGTCGCCGCCCCGTCGCTGCTTGTCACCGCAAGTCGCCGCGCACAACATAGCCGACACCACAGACATTGCACCACATAGATTGCGCCCCGTAGCTTACGCCTCATAGCTCACACCACATAGGTTGCACCACATATCTTACACCACAGCTCACACCACAAATCATCCCCTGCATAGATTGCACCACTTAGGTTGTACTACGTAGTTTGCACCACATAGTATCGCACCACATATGTTACATTACATAGTTTTCCCCCCATCGATCGGGCCCCATACGTTAATCCACGTAGCGTGCACCACGTTGCTGACATCACCTAGATGAGCACGTTTGCCACACATGGTTTGCACAATATAGATTGCACCAAATAGCTCACACCATATATATTATATATATATTATATATATATATATATATATATAATATAGATATTCTCCTTTCTCAAAAAGACTAGGATCTACCCCCCCCCCCCCCGGCGTTATCGGCCCCCCTTTCGGATATGTAAATCATACATGATTATGACCACATGCCCATCCGAAATATGAATTTACCCTAATGCGGGATGGCGGTTAATAAACAAATGGGGAAGAACGATCCAAAAAATAGTTTTCTGCTATTCCTACACAATTTTCTGACTGGAGAAGAACGAATAAAAAATGTCGTGTTCAAAATAACTTCACTTAAAAAATGGCCCGTCGGCCGCCCGGGCGCGCGCCCGAGGACGGCGGGGGGGGGAACCATTAAAAAATAGTGTTCCAGCCCGCGGCCGGTTTTTTCTAATCGTCATCCCGGGCGCCGCCGCGTGAACACGACCCCCGGCCATTTATTAATCGTCATCCTCCACTATCCCAGGCCAGCCGGGTTCCCCCCCCTGAGGTTCCCTTGTGAAAAAAATATGCGGTGACACTTTTGTTCTAACATAACACTGTTTCACGAATCCCTTGCAAAAAAAACGGGACGAAGTGCACACGTTTGCGTCGTCGCGCGCGCATGCCGAAATCCTTCAAAAACCTTCGGTGCCGGATGGATTTTGCAATCGAGTTTCCAAAACACATACAGACACACAGGGTTTCGCAACACTGATTTGCTAAAAAAACTTCTGCGCGAGCTCTTGCGAAATCTTAAGAAAACCATGGGTTTTCCAAGATTTTCACATAATGCTATTAAGCGGGCTTCGCGCGCGCATGTCGAAGTCTGTCGAACGCCCTTGCGCGTGTGTCGTCGCGAGAATCCTCTGCAGAAAATAGGACGAAGTGCAGACGCGCGCGTCGTCGCGCGCGTATGCCGAAAACCTTCAAGACCCATCGGTTTCGGAAGGATTTCAAAATCGTGTCCAAAAAACCTACAAAAAACACAAGGTTTCGCAACACGGATGTTCAACAAAAGCGTGCGCGCGCGCTCTTGCGTCGTCGTCGTCGTCGTCGTCGTCGCCGTCCTCCCTCCTCCCGCGTCGTCGTCGTCGTCGTCGCCTACGTCGTCCTCTGTCTTTCCTCGTGTTCGTCGTCGTCGTCCTCTTTGGCGTCGTGATCGTTTCCGTCGTCGTTGTCGCCGTGGTCGTCCTTCCTCCTCCTCCCTCGTCGTCGTCGTCCGTCGTCGGCGTCTCGTCGTCGTCCCCCGTATTTCGTCGCCGTCGTCGTCGTCATTGTCGTCGTCGTCTTCCCTCCTCCCTCGTCGTTGTCGTCGTCGGCGTCGCCGTCCTTCCTCCTTCTTCGTCGTTCGCGTCGTCGCCGTCCTCCCTCCTCTCTCGTTGTTGTCGTCGTTGTCGTCGTTGTCGCCGTCGTCGTCCTTCCTCCTCGTCGTCGTCTTCGTTGGCGACGTCGTCGTCGTCTTCGTCGTCGTCGGAGTCGGCGTCGTTGTAGTTGTCGAAGTCGTCGGAGACGTCG